AATGCCAAGTGGTATACCCAAGCAGTGACTCAGTTCGTACGTCGACAACAATCGGAGACGACGCGCCGGCAGCTCAAAGCCATCTTGGAGAATCAGCAGTACACAGCGCAAGCCTTACGCGCGATACTGCAGCGACGCAACATTCTTGATGTATGGCATAGGTTATTGCTGGGTTTGCGTTTGTTGGAACTAAACTGTATTCGATTTACACTTGCAGGGAATGGATCTCGTGTTCGGCGGTGCACCACCACTCTACCGACAGCCCCAAACATTGGATAGCAGTGCCGGGATCCTGAATGCACTGGAGAAGCGTGTGGAAAATTTGTATATTAACTCGGAGGCTGGCTTCGGATGGAACCTGCCATGCATGGTCTCCTCCAAAATGAACGTCAACCGCAATACGCAATACGGCAAGATGATCGAGATTGAGACGGTCACGCCAGTCTCCTGCTCGATACAAGAAGCATCCACAATTTTGTGGAAGGATCTCAAAACTGTGCACGAAATCCCGGACAAGCGCTACCGTTATGTAAGATGCTCTTCGTTACCTTCGGCTACTGTGCGGCTAACGAGCATAGGCGCATTTGTTGTGTGTTGTAGCTCCGTGGAAGCAAACCGGATTCGCTTGAAAAGAATTTCGTCATGAAATTACGTGGGCAGCGCCATGACATTGAGATCAACGGAACTCACTTTTCTCGCAAATTTGAGGAGGCCCGACGCATCGTTATTGCTAAGGCCGACTTGGTTGTTTTGCCGACTCAAGGGCTTCAGTTCAGGTCACCATCGTGGACAACCATTACAGCTTCTGAAGCCGACCCGCAGAACGCATCAGTTGTGCGGAGCTATTTGCGCATTTATGCAGAGGTTCAACCAAATCTGGCAGCTCGTCTAGACGATGTCGAGTGCACGAGAGACTTTATTTTAAGCGGCCTTAGCAAAATGATGTACGGCTGTGCACAGAAGACACAAAGCGAGCTTCTTCAGCAAGCGCTGGTCATTTAGATTGCGAATCGTGTCGATATGACTAATTCAGGATGTTGCCCCAGTTCTTATGAATGCCTCAAATTGAGGCCCTCAAT